AAAAAAAAAAAAAAAAAAAAAGACTACATGGAATGGAAACACCTTGCTTAGCTCTGGAGCTACTGAGACTTTTTAGGACTCCCACCCCTTATCATTCTTTAACTTTTGGTCAAATTAAGACAAACTGGTTACTTCCTACTCATCTCTACTTATTCCAATCGTACACTGCTGACCTGACATTCTAGGTTCAACACCTGCAGCCAAGACCAATCCCGTGAGGTTAAAGGGCAAACTGAAAGTTGTTTTGTGAGTGACAGAATACAGTACTAAACACCAGCAGGTTACCTAATAAGCAGGTACTCTATGGACTCCATTTAGTACCACACGCTTAAAACAAGCTTGAGCAACGGATGTTCTGAGTCCACCCATATCAGTGGTACATGGTCACCTGAATTTTTACCAGGTATACAAATATTTGAAATACATGGTCAAGAAACATCCACCCGAGAACAGCCACTAAGACAGGAAATTCCAAACTGCGACAGAGCTGATCTACTTTCTAAGAAGCCAAATTAAAGTCACCAGAAATGGGCATGAGGCACATGCCTGTAATTCCAGCAACCAAAAGATAACCCTTCTCCACTGTTGGTGGGAATGTAGCCTTTTACAACCCCTGTGGAAATCAGTGTGGAGATTCCTTAAAAAACTAGGATTGGGGCTGGGGAGATGGCTCAGTGGAGTAAGTGCTTCCTTGGCAAGCACGAGGGCCTGAGTTCAATCCCCGGTTCCACAAAAAAAAAACCAAAAAAAACACTAGGATTAACGGTTCCATCCGACTCAGGTATTCCCCTCTTGGTTATGTTCCCAAACTAAAAACATCGTATCACAGCACCCATGTTTACAGCAGCACAAGGTATAATAGCTGAATCTTGGAAACAACCCAAACATCCATCAACTGCAGAATCAATAAAAAAAGCTATATACTGTACTCTAAGACAAAAAATACACAATGAGTTACAATGTACTGATTATTGTAACTCTTTTACATCCTTTTCAAAGCTGTTGACAAGGCACTAACTCAGTAGCCTACCTTAAGAAAAAGTTGCACAGAATACTAACGGCTTAGGGGTGCTACTCAATTATCTGAAACATAAGGATTCATGGAACACATGTATCATAACTACCACTCTAGACACAAACAAGTGGATCCAATGTGGAGGCCTGTAACATAGATCTCAAATGGGTAACTTTTGCATTAGAAATGTAAATCTAAGGAAGCACAGAAGGAGCGTGGATCGGAAGCAGAGGGATACTTCAGGACTAGAAAGAAGTCACAAATCTTCCAAAGGTGGGAGTAGTAGGGATGCAAAAGGATCAAAGGATAAGAATTCCCGCTCTGACAGAAAGAGGTCTACATCAGAGAGTAGTCGATCAGGCAAAAGATCTTCAAGAAGTGAAAGAGACCGAAAATCAGACAGGAAAGACAAAAGGCATTAATGGAAGAATCCAGGCTTTCTTAGCCTATTCGCAGCAGAAGATTTGATGAGTAAAAGGATTACCTTTCCTTGTAAGGAGGATGCTGCCTTAAGAAATGCATGTTGTAAAAAATCTTTTTGGAAAATACAGACTGTTTGTTTACCAGACATTCTTGTACTTTTTGCATAATTTTGTAAGAGTTATTTATCAAAATTATGTGAG